TGCGCGAAAGTAAGACTAAAATCTGAACTCTACTAAGATGGGTCGATGTTATGGACACATATATGCATGCCATAATTTTCCGAATTATATTACAATAATTAATAACAGTATGCGGTAGGGCCTTTATTCATTCGTACATTACCCATATAGTATTCCTACATTTTAAAAAACTCGTACTTTATAATTAGATTTTTTTAAAAAAAAATTTATTGTTGTTTATAAGATTACAACATTGATTATAGCCATCGGGATTTAATCATATTCTATGGTTCTTTCTTTTATATGAAAATGTCATGATTTTCTTTAAAGCAACCTTTGGTTTTTATTGAAAAAAGGGAAAGTTGCCACAACCATGATCTGTTTTTTTATAATATATTTTGTTCTATCATTGAAGATATCTATCTCTTTAATTTGCTAACAAGATCTATCTTTCCATAGTTGTGTATGAATCAGTATACTATATTCCTAAGCAATCATATCGTTTAAAACTTTTTAAAAATTTTAAAACTGAAAGACATTCTTCTAACAAAAGTTGTGGACCACGGTGCAAAATATCATGAATATAAAGAGATAGGTTTTTAAAAATATTTCCAAACAGATCAGTAGTTTAATTCCTACTTAAATGAGGTAGCTAGATGCCGACAAACACGTAATGATCATTCGGATTTATTTTAAAAGATTAAACTCTAAAGTGAAGATATAATTATTTCTTTTGAAAGGACAAACAAAAGCAACATATATAGTCACATTTTTATTTCCCCAACTGCATAATGAGATTTATATATAACGATGTGTTAACTGGTGTGGAAAGAGAGATGCGCAATCAATTCTTAACATTACAGGAAAAATATATACGAAAAAAAATATAGAAATGGAAATAAAAGCAGAGTACGTAGAGAGTGATGAAATCATGGACAGTGTATAGTAAACTGTAAGAGAAGAAGAGAGTTCTTAATAAGGGAAACATGCTGAACAGAAGAATCTCAGTCTTGCTCACTCAGTCTTTGTCTTAAGCCCCGACAAATATATAAACTTTCTTTTCTTTTTAAAACCAAATATGTATAGAGAAGTGAGAAATACAATTGAAAAAAGATATAATTAAAGAGGAAAAATATTAATGAGAGTGTCTGAAACTCAGAGTGGTCAGACCTGATGACTTGCTTTTCACGTAGGTAGACGTTCGATCCATGCAATGTACACATATCTATATACGTGTGTTCATAGGTACAGACACAGTGTTTTGTAATTTCCACCATTACTGCTCTCTAACAGTTATTTTATCTATTTAAGATTGGTTACTTGGCTAGTAGAAAAATAACACTTCATCAAGTATACCAAGTACGTAGTAAGAAAAGATTTCCTCTTCTTGTAAGAAAAACAATATTGCGTAATGCCGAACCTAGTTTTGTAAAATGAAAAAGATATTCAATATTAACAAACATTGTGTATATATATATAGTATATCCGGAGAGAAAACCAAACCGAACCGAATGGTTTACAAACGCATTTTCCATACTGAACCGAATTCGAATATATCTAACTGAACTCGAATGAACTAGAAGACCAATTATCTTGTTACTATTTGTTAAATTGTTAGTTTCAAACTAACATCAGTATATATATATGTACGTGTACGTTCGAATCAATTTACAGGAAAACCCAAAAAATACGCATATCAGGTGTTGCAGCCTGCAGCAATCGAATGGCCTAATCTCTTACTTCTTCGATGCACACGTCGTAAATCATGGCGTGATTATGACAACCCTTCCCCAAATAGTATTTTAATATACATGTAATTATTTTATTAAAGGTTTATGATTTATATTTTTTTTTTGTATAAGCGTTAGAAAATTGGTCTTTACAGAGGCATTTAGCATCACGAATACTAGCCATTTTCCTTCTTTTTTTTATACATTAATTAGTACTATTAGCGTATAAACTTAAAAACACAAAATTTTCACGTATAATTTAAGAAAACACGATATGTGAGTAGTTATACGGAAAATATATGACACGACTTGGACACTAAAAAATCAGCATATATCGAAAGTACAATGCATATTAATTGCTACAAAACAAATCATAAGTTTCGATACGATATATAGTGCTGCCAAAACTCGATCAATTTTTTTTCATTTCAAAATTTCACCAGTGTAGGAAGTGGTTGAAATTAAATCAACTAAGAATTACATACTACGTAACATAATTATAATATTAGTCATAGTATAAATGTATAATGGTTGGAAAGATATTAACATTTCGGAAATGATCTACTCACTGAGTGTGAAAGTATATATATAACTTGTGTGATACCCGTTTGTGTGATATAATCTATACTTTCAGGGTTCACAAATGCATGCATCCGTCGTTTCAAACCTTCCATCAAGATGGGCCTTCGCACTATAAAAACCTTTCTTTTTCACCTTTCTTCCTTGATTTTATTTTATTTTTATTTTCAAGAAAATAATTCTCAAAACAAAAGGGAAAAACCTAAAAATTTAAAAAAAATACATTGAAAAAATCCAGCTGGTTGGTGTGACCCCACATTCTTATCGACATCCATCAATGTACCCCTCTTATCAAACACCGATTATAAGCCTATCCTTCCACAGTTTGTAGAGTCTTCCATTCCATAACATCTAATTGTGAAATTTTCTAACATCCGTATATTATAACTTTGCAAACTTGAGTATTTTGTAATTTCTTCATCGAATAAATTTTTTCTTTAACGTATAAATAACTAAGATTAAATAAGGTCTATGATTTGCCCAAAAAAAAATAAAAAATAAGGTCTATGATTTTCCATTAACATCGACCTTGAGAATTAGGTAAAGAAGTTCTATATGACTAGAAAAGTGAGTCCGTATGAAAAGGGTAGTGCCGGTTTCAAACGATAAAACGTTGAAATAATAATGAAAAGGAGAAAGCTACCTAATTTTTTTTTGAATTCTAGTTTAACAGTAACATTTGTGCAAAGCATATACCCCTCTTTTTCATTGCCTTTTTGAATTTTGGTTTTCCTTTTATAGATCTTGTCAAGATATGTTAATAGCACATACACTATCTAATTCTTATAAAGTATCTTTGTTTTCAAAACATTTTATAGTTTTGTATATCTTTTTTTTTTCAATAAATCAAATCTAGAATCCAAAATGTATATATGATTAATGATTATAAAAAAATTATCACGATTTTGATTGATGTCTGAACTTTTACCATTTTTTTTTGTCACCAAATATCATAGCGGTATAACACAAACGACAAAGCCTTGTATGTGTGTCTTATATAATTCATAGAGCTAGTAAGTATATATATCTTTTATCTTATAATATCTACTTCATCATACGAAGTGTTTATACCATGATACAATATATTTACCAATCAGAACAAAATATTATTTGTTGTATCATTAGTGACACTGCATCTTATTAGCTCTAAAATCATAATCTTTCTTTGTCTTAAACAGTTCTTTGTCCATTTAGAAGAGATAATTATGTATTGTTTTGTATCCAAGATACTTTAAGCAAATTACAAGAAATAAATTAAAACTAATGCAAGATACTTTCCACAATAAATTGCAACAAATTAAATATTGCGGGAACAATTATCATCATATATGGTCGCAGTTATCTAACCAACTTTGAATAATATTACAAAGCGTCGTTTGGATGATATGAGAAAAAAATGGAAGAAGCTTTGTGTCTGAGATAGATTGATCAAAATTGGAATGGTTCTTTATCTTTTCACGTCATAGCTCATATTAGTAGTATAGTAGTTTTGTTTGACAAACTAAGAATTAATATTACGGGAATATATGAGCTTATGGAATCAAAGGTTGGTCGATAAAACTATTAGAGATTAAAATATATTTTGATATTTTGCTGTGGTGGCGGGGGACCGTTACGTTAGGGAATGATAGACCGTGACTCCATTCACGGGTAATCAATCTCTAATATTATTAATATTTAACCCCAATGCTAATCTAATTCATCACTAATTATTCTATTATAATTTGTTACTATAACTTATAATTACAACCACATAACAACGCTTGAGCAGTACACAACTCTAAACCTATGCTACATATGGCCATGTTTTTTGTTGTTGTTCTCAAATCTAACAAATGATCGTTATCTATATTTTTTTCTCGTTCGTCGTAAGTTGGAATTATATTTTTCATTTCTGAAAAGAGAGAACATTCATTGCAAGACAAAATTTTGTTTTATAGTATAGAATAAAGCTTTATTTGTTGTCTCCTTGAAGTGGAAACTCGGAATGAACTCGATTCTTATGAACCTTTATATATTCAGGAAAAAAGGGAAACGTTACCCGAGGTGTCAACGACGCAAGAGGAAAATAATAGTGGAGCTGTCTTTTTCATAAAGATTATGTCGTATTTTAAACATGAGATAACTATACTTGATTTAATTAAACACACACCTTTTGACTAATTAATTATTCTCCTCTCTATATCACTCAACTATAGTGAGATAATAATCAACTCATGTTGTCATCTAATAGAGCATATGAGAGAGAACTCCTCGTTAATCCTATTGTAAAAATTAGAGTATATCCAAGTTTGTATTTCATGTAATAATAATAAAATTATGTTTCACCTCTAGTGAAAGATCCACATGCTTGACAATTATGATTTTAAATTAGTTGGAGTTTCTAATCTGACAACATTGGACCACACGTATTCCCTATGGACATCGATCTGAAATTCCTGTCATATGGATGTAATAATAGTAATATCATTGGTTATTATTTGCCTATCAATAAAATTGTCTCTCTTCATTAATTATTTTATATGCAAAATAAAAGATTTAGTCTAAAATCTAAATGTTATACATCTCTTTGAGCTTCTTGGGTATAAGGAAGGAGAAAGCTCTTGGGCCTTATGTGTCAAATAGGCCAGTGCATTTTTGGCCCATAACGAATTTGCTTTGCACCTACTGACCCATTAGTTAGAAGTTAGAACTCCATAACACAGTTCGAAATTAAAAAAAAAACGTGTTGTATTCAAATTTGGTCTAATTGTTAACTACAACTACACTGAGTCGAGAGTTTTACAGAAATTCACTGTGAATTTCTAAGTTCGCATAAGGGATTACACAAAATCTTAATACTCTCACATCAACCAAAACTTTTACATACACCCACCATCCATCTAAACAACGCAGGTTAGTTTGTCATTACTTGCGACGGAAGCTACCCCAATGTCTACCATCGATTTCCGCCAATGTCTTCTGATAATTCTTCAACCAAATCCTCGAAAATCTCAAACTCGATATCCATAACCGTCTCTGCAACTTCTGCGTCGTTCTTTGATCTCCATAACCCCAAACTCTCTGTTCTGAAATCATGTTCGACCATCATATCAATTGTGTTCGACTCCACATCTCTCCAAGACCTCAGTCTCTCGCATACCCTTTTGGCTGCCATGTCGGCTACAGCTTCATCGTCAAGCAAAACAATGTCGTTTTGTAATTCCTCTGCTGCAAGGTCCGAGATCAATGCTTCTATGCCTTGGGGAACTTCATTCATGTCTTCAAAGTATGTTTTAAGCACTCTCTGAGTTATAATCTCACAATGGTAAAGACATTTCATGTCTTCTTCCTCTTCCTCCTCCTCCTCATCGCTCTCTTGTTCTGACAATCTTTTCTCGAGTTCTGTGGGATCCAAACCAGCTAGTTGCTCGAATCTACAAAGCTTCTGTAGTAGCAGATGCTTTGCTTCTGTGAATCCACATCCAGAAAACAAACATTAGTCTTAAATAATCAAAGGCGTTACATGTATTTTTCATTCATACAAAACCCTAAATTAACCTCCAAATTATTTACTAACAAAATACGAAAAAGGAAATGTACCAATCTAACAAAAAGGAAGTATACACACACAAAAAATGTGAAGTTTCCCCAAATCTAATAGAAATAGTCACAAGATTTTGAAAAATCAAAAATGTCAGTGAACACTATGTGATGTAAACGTCAATGAGACCAATAAATAACAAAACACTATTGGTGCACGAACATGTTACTGTTCTTTTTTTCTTTTCCTTCCATCATAAAAACCCGTACAAGAGAGAGTTTTTATAAACCATTAAAGTTTGGTAAGGTGGAAGAATTAAATGAGAGAAGCATGAAAATTTGAGACAAAAGAGTGGTTCGAAAAACGTACTTTGTACAGATCTGAAGCTGGAAGGGATGTTATTGTCATCCATGTGAATGTCTTCGTCATCGTCCTGAAATGGAGGGTCCAAAACTGAAACTGGGCTGCTCTGTTCTTTATCTTCCTCTTCTTCTTCCTCCTCCTCCATTTCTAGTTTCTTTAGCTTCTCTACTTCATAACTCTCTTTCTTCTTCTCTTTCTACACAAATATTATAAAAGAAAAACACTACTTTTAGATTGGAATGATAATTAACTTAATGCTAATTCGACTTGAGATTGTTTTTGATTGATGGAAATACACAGACAGAGACAACTTCTTTGGAGTCTATTGCTAAATAATTTTATTTGGTAGAACAAGAAAACACAAAAACAAGAAAAGAGAGATTTGCATGTCAGAGACAAGAGATCAACTTTGTTTTCATCAACACAAAAGGCTGAGTTCACTTTCGAAAAGACGAAATATACATTTGTCTTCAACCGTTGTTGCATCTTCGAAAACTACCAAACGATGAGTTTGCGTGGGTATCTTTGTCATTTACTCTTATAACTTTTCTTACTACGTTGCCTGCCGCTAATTCCAACGAGTCAAAACCATGTCATTAAATTTTAATTAAAAGCTTTCTATACCAAATTTTGTATTTTCAAATCTTATCATTACGAAACATCAATTATTTCTTTCTTCAGACTTTTTTTTCCTTAACTAACGAAGAATATGATCAATAATGTGTAATCATTATTAAATAATTAAATTGGAGAAAGAGACAAACCTCTAGACAATCGTGGCGTGGAGAAGCCGCAGGTGATGAGAAATTTGGCGTTCTGAAACCGCCGTTTGAAGGCATTGTTTGGAGAACAAAATGAAACGGGCTTTCACAATAACGTTTCTCTTCCGAAAAATCTTCACCGTTCATCATCATTGGGAACTCATCTGAACCGTTGGATCTGCTGCTCGACGTGTCGAAGTCAACGTCCCAAGATCTCTCTCCGTTTGTAACACTCTCTGACCAAACGCCACTACTACTCGACCTCCGTGAGAACTGCGTTTCAGACGCCGCTTTATGCGTTCTTGAGGAGACGTTTTCTTCTTCTACTTCTTCTTTGCGTTTGGATTTTCTTGTGACAATTTTACGGACAACCGGAGATTCCCATCTCAACATGTCTTTCACCGAAGAAGAAACGCGTCCGCCGTCTTTACCGTTGTTGATCTCGCGTTTCTTTCGGTGCGTTAGCTTCTTTAAAACTGAACCAAATATCCCGAACGCGTTTGCAGCGTTTCGCGTTCTCGTTTTAGAACCTTCTGAACTCTGTTTCTGTATCCTAACCGCAGCTTCTAGTAGTATCGAAGCAGTTCTGGCGGGTATGTTGACGAAGATCGCGTTTTGGCTACGGTTGGGAGACTTGAGCTCAAAGAGTGGAGACTTCCTCGGGTCGGGAGATTCACGTAGAGAGAAGAAACAAGCGTTGCGGCAGAAACGCGAGGGAAGACCACCAGCGTTTTGAGAGATGGGTCTGCGTTTCTTGACCTGTAAATGCGTTACCGGACGATTGATCTGGCAACGTCGGTCTGAGATGTAACTCTGAAGCTGAAACGGCTCTTGATCTTCTTCGAGAAGATCTTTTAGATGTCTCTGAGACGCCATTGTAACAAAAATTCAAACAAACTAAGAACAAGAAACAGAGTAATGAAGAAGGAAGAAAGAACAGTACTTTCTCGTGAGTTTATTCAAAAGTTTCAAGTTTGTAATTAAAGTGAAAGTTTCTGGACTCAGATAGAGAGAAGAAGAAGAAGGAGAATAGAGAGAGAGAGATGTTGATGGTGGTGATTCAAAAAATGTGGATGGTTTAAAAGATCGAGGCAAAGGGCTAAGTAAATAGTTGTAGGTAGGAAAAAACAAAATATTATTGTATATTATTTTTTTGGTTTTTGGTTAGTCTATTTTTTTTTTTTTGGTTTGTTGTGTAATGGGTGATTTAAGAACACACCAACAAAACAGAAAATATTTTAAAATTCAGTAGGCAAAACCTCAATGTAATAAGAATGGGTGATTTATTAAGAGCACACCAACAAAATAGCATAATATTTTAAAATTCATAGGGCAACTCTCAGTGTTATTGCCAATTTCCAAAGGGAAACAAAAAAAGTATATATTTGTTTAATCGAATTGGTCCCCTTGACTGTTAAATTGCTACTTCTTTGTTAATACGTAAATATGTGTCATGTTAATTGATGTTCTTCACTTAATAAACATGTATTAAGAACAGTTTCACTATATTTTAATATACTATAATATACTTATTAGTACAAATTTAATTAAAGTAGCATTATTTCCATGCCCACAAGCTTCTTTACTCTCCACGTTGTTACGTTATTCAAACTTGGGTGAGTCGAGGGTAAGTCAATTTAGGACTTCATCTCCATAAATATTACAGAAGTAGAAAAGTTCAAAATCATATAGTAACGAGCGCTTGTTTCAATAATATAGCATCGAATAGTTGTTTTCATTTTTCACATTTCCGTGAAAACTGTTCTTTTTTTCCTCCAAGGGACAAAAGCGTTGACGATCTCAAAGAGGTAAAAGAGTTAAAAAAAAAAAAAAAAACAAAAAACATAAACAAATGAAAATAACTCGTGAGAACAAAAATATGAATATTAGAAAACGACAAAAGTGAGAAACACGCATGCCCAATTTATTTTGTAGGAACTGGATTTTGACTGCATCCACTTTTTTGACGACCCTTTTCTATATTATTAATTTAACTCTGTCGTTTTTGTTTTGTAATTAACTCTGTCGTTTTTGCTACATCAGTGACATTGTATTCAAAGTTATTAATTACCACATGATTAGTCTAAGAGGTATACAATGTAAGATGAAAACGAAATACATAAACTTCACATTATGTTTCTGCAGGATTCTAATGGTAGCAAAAACTTACATCTCATATTTTCAAGGGGGATAATCATATATGATCAGCAGCCCTTGTATGGATGAATAAACAATGGCTTTTAACATTACATTGATGTATATATGTATTAGTATACCGTTAATCTTTACACATATATAATATACATGAACTTTAACGTAGAACAAGAAATAGTTAGTATGTTTTTAGTCTGTATTTTGTCAGATAACAACTAAAATAAACTAAAACCTCTCATATACACAAGAATTACACGAAACACTTGCTGCTAGGCAATTCAAAATTAACACAATTCGAAACGTACGTAACAGCAAAAGTAACTTTTAAAAAATTGGGGTTTTACGTTTACAGTGCTCCTCGTGCGTAGAGATTGGCCAGAAAAAAAAAAAGGACACGGTACGAAACAATTTTATAGCTTTCATATACACTCTATTTTCATTTGATTGGTTACTTAACTTCCACATACACATCAACTTTAATTTAAAATGACAAAAGGAAAAAAAAAAAAAAACTTTTAATAACTCCTGTCATTTGAAAAGAAGTAATTATGATTGTGTTTTCTGAGAATGGTAATTTTAATAAAGTTGAGTACAGTTATTTCCTCATATAGTTCCCAGATGTAAATATAGTATTAAGGTCAGAGCTACGCGTGCCTTGCTTTATTTCCTTCAATCACTTTCTGCTTCTCTAGCTAGTGGTATGGTGGGGGGTGGTATAGTTTATTTGGATGTTTGTTTTTTTCTTTTCAAATTGTCAAAAGCTGAAATAGTATGATGTATTTTACAAAAAATATCTTGTATTTTTGTTATAGAAAATAATATACAGAAAATCGATTAATTAGTTTGGATGATTTTAGAATCTTTGGAATAGAATATCGCAATAGCAAAATCATTGTGTAAATTCTACAATTGTATTCCAATCAGTCAGACAGCTTTTGCAGAATTATTTATTTTTTCGTTCTCTTTATACTGTTTCGTGTATATAGTTTCAGTGAAAAAAAATAATAATATTGGCATTCAAATTTTTCTCGTATATTCTAAAGTTAAAATTCTTTTTTTTTTGTAGGATTAAGATTTTACTGTATGGAGCCATTGGGTTTGCGTGAAATGGTCCAGCTTTTCATAATGGTCTTTTAGATTCGCATGGTATTAAACATAAAACTGTGGTAATTAACACGTTTAATTACCCAAGAAAATCTGAGATAAGTATTTACAAGTTGAGAGTATCCTAGGCAGATATTAAATTTTGTCATAATACTAGAAAAAGAAAAAGAAAAAAAAAAACATATCACGTCTTTGTATAGTAGTAATTTGAGATTTGTTTCATGGGTCCAGACTTGAGTCAGAAGCCATATTAACTAGGTTTTAACATTTAACTGTAACGTTTTTGACATTTTGTGTCACCACATGAGTTTCCGTTGTGATTTGACGATTCTTAGATGGACTTGGCAAATCTGTTCATTGTGATTTGCAAGATTATATTACAATGCTATCGATATTTACTATTTATGATATAATATAACATATCGCATATGCTTTTGTAGTCTACCGATAAAATAGAAAGAAATGTATGGTCCATGAAAGTGAATTGGTAGTAGTTGTTAAGAGATGTTAACATCAATTACTTTCTATGATTAACGTACGAAAAAAAACATAAAAATGTTTCGAACCTCAGCCACTATATCTTTATTGGCGTGATGATCAACTTTTAGATTGGGTCACGGTCACAAACTTCTTTTTTTGGGAAGATATGGTAATCAAACTTGAAATGATTAGTGAGTATGGAAGAAAGATTATACTATATGGTATAATAATAATTCTAGATATTTTACATAGGATAGACAGAAACATTTATAATTTCATTTAGCAGAAAAAACTAATTATTGTGCTTAACTGGCATAGAAAAAGACAGTTCTATATATGATTGGGACACTTTACTAGAAAGCAACTTTTCATTAATTATACCAGCTTTGTAAACAGTTTGTATAAATTAAATGCAATAAAGATTTTATACGATTATTACAAATTACATTTACAATATAAGGAAAAGAAGAAAACTTATACTTCAAAACTGATGGTTTATTTCAAGAGATTACTAACCAGGTTTCCTCCGGATGAAATTAACCGAATATATGCTATTTCTTGATTAATTTGCATAATTTTTTAACTGTGACACTGGCGTATTGATATATGAAAATAGACTCAAATGCCTAGATAAGAAAGAAAAAAAATATGTGAAATGATCGGAGTGGTAGGGAACACTATGGATTGTTATTTGCATGACCCTATTAATTAAGGTTTGAAAGACAAGTCAGGTAGTAAAACCCCGACAGGAATACGAAAGGATATAACTGAACATAATAAATGGATTCTAAGTTTTATCTCAAGAACTAATTAAGTAGTTATAAAACTAATCACCTTTGTATTTAGGTAAAGGGTTGGCGCTTTGTAGTGGTTGGTGTTTGGTAAGTTCGTAGTTTCTCAATATTCTTCTTGTTTTCGCATGTCATGACAAACTTAGGACATACCCAATTTTATATTTTGTTATTCTCTTGCTCAATCTTTATCTTCTTCTCTTTTTTTTTCTTTTGATACTTTTTGTGTTCTCAATTATTAGTCTAATCACATTAAATAGTGTAGTCGTATTGTTAGGTATTGACCGGTAACTAAAAGTTAAATGAGGTAAACTCGTTTACGAACGATCATTCAAATTATAAAATAGATAGTGTGTTTTGTTTGACCAACTTGTTTTTTGTTTGTTTGTTTACATATGTATAAGTATTAGTTATTTTTCTCAATGAAAAGCATGTCAAAACGTGAAATGATGGTATGTACAATAAAACTTAATACTCTCATATGTCAGCGCAATGGCGACTCACGTTTACGTACGATGAAAAACAATGCATGGTAAAAATCTTATTATTCTTTTATTAAACGGTCGTTGTACCATCCCAAATTCTCTCTTTAAAGAATGTTAAATTTGAAGTTAGTTATATACTTATATAAGTACAGTTTGTCATAATTATTAAAGGTTAAGTAATTGATTTTAAAAAGTACTATAGTACTTACTCGTAAGACATGAGAGGAGGAGGAGAGACAATAACATCGATTCATGTAATATTAGAAAATCAATTTGGGGTCCATTTTTTTTTTTTTTCACTCTTTGGTTTAGTCAAGTGAGAGAGAGAGAGAGAGAGAGAGAGAGAGAGATCGCGCCGACCGTACAAACGTAAAAA